TCGCCGTTCCTCAGCAGCCAAATGACTCCACTGACCAACTGAACAAAAGGGTTGGACTGATCTAAAACATCTTCCTGTGACAGATACCTGCACAAGACAAGATATATATACATACACACTATATATGTCACTTTTCACAGTTTAGCACCCTCCAGAACAGAAAACACCAACATTCGTGTCATTTTCACTCAGTTTAAATGGTTAAATGTTTCTAACAGATTTACCGAAAAAGGCCAATTTTAGTAAATGTCAGCTTATCATCTGCAAAGTTAACACAATGCAAATTGTCCAGATTTGTAGATCAAACTGTATTTTATACTCGTAATTAAATAATATTCCAGTTTGGGTTCTTAAAGCACATAAGCCCAAGTCCTCACTCGTTTATTTGTTTAGCACAAATAAATGTTGAATCATGTAAAAATTCCTGGAACTGATGACCTCGGTTATCAAACAAAGAAGTTAAATAAACCTCTTGGTGGTTTACAGATTACCTCTGAGAGCGTGATAGTGGTTTTCTTTAGAGTTATACATTTTTGCTCCATCCTGTTGCAGTAATCACCAGATTTTATGCTAAAATTTGCTGTAGACGTACGGAGAAACGACTGCTTTTTAGGAAAGTGTCAAGCTGCCATGTTGAATCTAGCAAAATAAACAACAGGTGCCACATTGAGTCATCAGACATGAACTTGTCACCGGAGGATTGTTGTTGAGCATCTGCTGAAGTGGACCGGAGGTTAAACTGTGGGCAACATGAACATGCCAACAGGAAACCACTCAGCAGAAGTTGTGATGTACTTTACATAACCAAATGAGACGATCAGCAGAGACAAGCATGAGGAGAGATCATACTACACATAGGAAGTCAGGTGGAGACAAACAGAGTGGTTCAGAGGAATCTGGTGTTAATGGGCTTTAAAATGAAGCAAAAAATATATATAATGCGCATTTTCTTCCAGAAGGCTTGGGAACCTTGCTGGCAGCGGATTCCCATTTCAAAACCTCAAATAATACCTGAACTTTGACCCCAAATCACAGAAGATTTGAAAAGAAATTCAAATCACCTCTTACATCCATCATATCAGAGTGACTCTCAACAAAAGACTTATGACTACAATTTAGTTCAAAATGTTAATTTTAACTAAATTTGAAAGAACGAAAGGGTCAAACTAAAAGTTTAAACTGGAAACAATAAATTGTTTAATTTCACTAATAGAATAGGGGACATCCATCAGACCCAAAACAGAATGAAAAACAAAAGTGAATCATTTTGGTTAGTTAAAGCTTTAACTAAGCATTGTGCACTATGTGTGCACAATAATAAAACCAGGGTTTTAATACTTTCAGCTTGTCGTTGTTGATTATAAATTAATCCTGAAATAAACCGCAAGGTTTTATCTGTCGTGCTTCAGGCCAATGCCTTAAAAGCAAAAACAATGACTTTTTGTTTTCTTACCCAAACACCAGGGTGCCGTCCCTCCTTATTCCAAACTGGGCGTTTTGCACCCCACCGCTGTCCTGCACCAGCCTGCCACTGCTCACCACGTTCCCCAGACACTCCCCTGACTCTGTCTTAAAGAATCCACCATTTTGGGCGTAAAGGCACCCTGCAGCTTTAGCCGTGTCCTCCACAGACACCCTGCGCTTCATTTTGCAGCCACCCGACCCTCCTGGTTCCAACACAGACACCATCTTCAGTGGGTCGTGGACCACAGTCATGTGACCTGGAAACAGAAATCCAGCAAAATAAGTCGAATAGTTTTAGTTTTTTATGAATTTATTTTTTAATTATGCCACTCTTAGTTACCAAGAACCCATCTGGTGCCTTCCACATCCGTCACAAACACCTTAGACTCTGCAACTGGCTGCCTGTTTCGGCTGCGGGAGGGCCAGCTCTCATGGGTGGTGTTGCCATGAATGAGGGCCTGACAGTCCCGGACGTGGCGGTGAGAGTGGGTGGGGCCGTGACCCTGTGTGTAAGGCTGGAGGAGGTCATCGTCCAGAGAGCGTCTGTAAAGTGCATGGTTTATTTAGTAGAGTCAAAGAGAAAAACGCTGACATATCTGCGAATCCCAGAGTTCAACAGGTGAAAATTGGATTTATTTCCCATGTAAATATATCAGACAAAGGGCTAACTCCTCCAGTTTTAAATAATAATAAAACATGTTTAATCTACTTATGAATTCTGTTTTCAGAGATGAATTTCAAGTGTAAAACGGTTTCTGCAGAAATCTGCTTTGTCACATGAAGGAATGTTTTCACAAAGAACTATGTTTTTTTTCCCTTAGTATTGTTTAATATTTATAGTTGGTGTTCATGTGTTAATCTTCCTATCTTTCAATGACACGTAATTGTCAAGTGATATTTTCAAATTTCCTGTGAAATTTAAACATTTTTTAATTCAATAACACGACGGGCCACTGGATGAACGACCGTCCTAGCACCCAACCACCAAGTTTTTCTGGGGGAAACCTTGCAATCGTTTCATCTGTTTTGTTCTTGATGCAAGTCCCCCTGAAAGTATTCAGGGGACTTGCAATAAGAAATTATTGTGTTTTTTTTCAGTTGAAGTCCACTTCTTTTTTTATTTATATTCCAGAGGAGATACGATCCCTTTGCTTCTAGCCTAAAATATTAATTCCGTCTCTGTTTTGGATTGATAACTATTTGAGGGGTTTTGTCTGTTATTAGCGTTTCTGAATTAAGTTTAATTTCATACTTTTAAGACCTTATTAGGATCAATTTGTGATAAATTTGATATCTGCAAGAACAAATTAAATGTTATTTTATTTTAGATTATTTGTTTTTAATTACTTGATAACATTTAATTTAATCAAGAGCTTCAGCCAATTACATTATTTTCAAATAAGAATTGTATTTTTGAACTATGGCATGTAGTTCTACTTCTTTACTTTCATTTTCTGGTAAATAATTACATTTCAAGTTCATATAAGATAACATAACAAAACAACAACATTTTATTCTAACTGAACTCTGACCAGCTTCTGCACATCATGATGTAGCTACTGATTCACAGTATGGATGTTACGTTCAGGCTTTTGGTCTCATCTGACCAGAGCGTCGTGTTTCACATGCTAGCTGTGTCTCTCACATGGCTTTTGGCAAACCAAAAAGGCCAGTTTTGCAGCATGCACAACTTCAAACCTGTCAAAAGATTCTCAGATGTTTTGACAGGTTTGAAGTGGTGTTTTTGCCCTTTATGTTTTCAGATGAGGCTTTGAACTGTATATCTTAAGAGTTTGGAGTATTTTTTTTAATATAGCCCTTAATAAAAATACTGAAAATGTTATATTTCTGACTTTCTTATTTTGTTTTTTGTGTTTGCTTTTCATGATGATGTTTATTAACTACTCCCCTTTAATAATTCCCTATTGAAGCTACATAACTGTTAAATTAATTCACTAGGCATTAATTTACATACAGGTGGACTTACCAATATGGGCAATTCGTTGTAACTAATTATTATTATTATTATTATTATTATTATTATTATTATAACTACATTTTTTTTACATTATTTATTATAACTACATCTCAGTTATGTAACTAATTTTAATATCACATAAAATTGAATTAAAATAGAGAAAACAAATATTTCTAAGCTTGTGTAAATTTATGATTTGAATCATGTTAGATCTGGTCTAACAGCACCACCTTGTGGCTAAAATATGCAGCTAGAAAAACATTTCGGCTAAAACTGTCAGCTTCCTTAAAACGTGACATCTCGTCTTGTGACTTGAAGTTGGGTCGAGCAAGTATGAAAATAAAAGTACAAATATGTACTGCTTAGTAAAACTAAACATTGCGCTTGTGTTGTACAGCTTTTACAAAGTTTTTTACAATGATCACGTTTGACTAAATGCCTTGTTGTGTATGAGCTCAATGATTTACTGTGAATTCAACACTTCAGATAAGAGTAAAAAGAGAAACTGTTATCAAACAACTGTTGAGCAAAGTTCGGGTTTGTCTTCCTTTTTTCTTTGTGCTGTTTAATTAGAAATATCTGCCAAAAATATTTAACGTAAGCATACGTCACTTCAATAGGGTCAAAGTAGACATAACTCTGTCAACGGACACTGCTAAGCCATTAGCTAACAGGCTAATGGCTAAGACTCTAAATCACACCAGCGGTCTTACCGAGTGTTTGTGGACTCGGACACCCGGATGCAGAGCCACAACAGCAGCCACGAATAACAGCATTTCACCCACTCTGCTGCCATATGGCGGAAAACTACCCGGTCAAAATAGGCTCTCGTGTTGAAGCCCACATCATCGTGGTGGTGAAGCACGACGTAAAGGCAAAATAGTGGGGCACACTTCCGGTGACTGTGCAAAAATAAAAGCCAAACTAAAGTCACGTCTGCTTGAATAACTAAATATCTAAACATGCAATTAGGTGTCTTGATTATTGGCCTATTTGAGTTTGACATTAAAAATATAAAATTACATCTCAATATATCTCAATAAAAGAGAGCGAATTCAAATTATATTAATCTAAAATTGTGTTGTGGTTTTATTATCACCTAATTTCCGGTCATGTGTCAGCAAGCTTTATTCAAGTCTTTGGTTTTTATTCTTTAGTTGCAAAGTTGTGCATATATCAGAAAAGTATGAAATTATAATCAATTTTCGTGATATATTTCTTTAACAGTAAAACAAAAATTTTGCACATTTTGTATCAGAATATTTCAAATTTCAAGTTAATTTCTGCCGGATAATCATCGGAAGGTTTTAATGTAACACAGGAGAGGACCTGCTCCATTCATGTAAATTGGAAAATAAAGTTTCACCCTGTCGGGTTAGATTAAAAAAATAAAGGCAAAGAGTATCACTTAAAGTTATATATTAATTTACTAAGTCAATTCAACTTGCCAAAAAATGTATCTTTGTTGATTATAAAATACAGCGACACAAGCACAAAATGAAACTAGAAGTTCGAACGTCGTATTTACGAGGTACAGAGAACGCAACACGAGGTGAAGGGGAACATGGCAGTCGGCGTCAGTGTTCAGCATGGATTGTTTAGCAGAAAAACGTCGCTAATTTACAGTATTCCCAGAAAGATAGCACTAAACGGGGTTTGTTTTCAAAGACTGGCTGAAATACAAAGTGTGAGAGCGTCAACAAACACAGCAGGGGAGAATCAGCACAGTGAGAAATACTGCCTGAACCTGGTCAGGTGGGTCAGTTCTGCTAACAGGCATGATGAATGTCGTTACTAAACACATGCATCAACTGTGTTTACAGCAGTGAACACTTAAAATATCGGAGCTTATTTGTTGTAGATGTTGCAATTAGTTTTAAAAGAAAATGTTGTTTTAATATAGCGGGCTTAATTATGGCATTCTTCATTTAGATTTCTGCTGAATAATAAGACAATGCGCTAATTATGTGCTTGTTGAAGTATTTAGATGTTTTTATCTTCAGTTTGAGGTTGTTTGAATTTGCTCTTGTAATCGGCTTACGTTAATTGACCCAGTGCCCAGTTAAGCTAACAGTCCTGTATTTGAACTGTGGGAGAATACTGGAGTACCCGGAGAGAACCCACGCATGCCCAGGGAGAACATGCTGAAAACCTCCTACAACTTTCTTGCTGCAGGGCAACATTGCTACCAACTGCACAACTGTGAAGCCCTACAGATCATTTTAATAATTTATTAAAATTATTATTATTAATAAATACATGTCCTCATTTTATCATTGTGCAACCACCAATTAATGTACTTTAAGATAATGTGGTTTGTCATTCCTCAGTCCTAAAACTTTCTAAGACTGTATGTAATAAGTTATTTCAAATCTAATAAAGGTTTTTATTGCTAAATTAGTCTTTTAACTGTGTCTTATTTCTCTTCTGGCTCTTTTATAAGATTTTATTTTCACAAATTAAAGTTTGTTTTGCTTGTGTTGTTCTTTTTCTTCCATTTTTTATATGTACCTTTCTACAGTTGAAACTGAATTTGCTTCACACTGACTTTAAAATTCATCCTGAATCTTAAACCTCTTTTTGCTCCTCCTCAGATCCAGAGACTATGAGGGCTTCTTGTCGTGTCTCCTCCTCCCCGAGGAGGCGCGGCGCTCCTCTCTGGCTCTGAGAGCCTTTAATGTGGAGCTGGCACAGGCAGGTATTCCTCCATATAGCTGAATGGGAGGTTATTTATTATATTGATGTCGAAACTGATTGTTAAACTAATGCTAGGTGTACGGAAAAGTACGTAGAAGTGTCTGATACCAGCAGTTCTTTTAAACTAATGTGTTCAGCGACGGACTCTCTGATTTTCCGTCTTCACTAGGTGAAGGACTCCATTTCCCAGAAGACCATTGGTCTGATGCGAATGCAGTTCTGGAAGACGGCCATAGAGGAGATCTACAGAGATGACCCTCCGAACCAGCCAGTCAGTGCTGAGCTGTGGAAGGTAAATGTCATTACAAAGAATTTTGAATTGACACATTTTCAAGCATTTAGGGGTCAATATCTTTATTTTTCTTTTTCTTTGTAGGCCGTGAAGACACATGGTCTTACAAAAAGATGGCTGATGAGAATTGTTACAGAGAGGGTAAGAAAGAAAGTTAAAAGAATAGCATTCAGCATGTCCAGTGGGTATCATTGTGCTAGTTCAGATAGCATTGAGTACTTACTGTCAGTACAGTGAATACAATCTTTTATATATTCCTCTGGGACTTGGAAACTTTGAAGCCAAAGGAAATGCTTCCAAGTTCTGAGACCACAGTTTTATTTTAGATAGAACAACATGAGTGTTCCTAAGGTTACAGTTCTTTTTGTAGACTTTTGTTCATATTTCTTTTTGTTGACACATTTCATATTTTTATGGTTGTTTTCTATGATTCTATTCAATGGCAAAGAGTTTTTCTCTGATTTTTTTAGTTTTTCATTTCAGACAGTTGTTATGATGCAAATCCATGGCTGCTAATTAGCATTTTAAAAGCTCAAATAACCTCTGGGACTTGAACTGCAACTCCAAATTCCAGAGGATGCAGAGCAGAATTTTTTTTTCTCCAAAAGTAATTAAATTATTTGCTTTTTTTGCATTTTTAATGTACTTCTAAAATAGTGTAAAAAGGCTTAAATGATTAAATGAAAAATTAATGTGCCAATTTTTTATCCAGATATTCAGTAACTTGTTATTCAGAGTAATTTGATTACTAAAATAATTACTTACAGTCCTAGTTAATAATTGATCATTCTCACTAATAAATTATGTTTTTATTTCTTGATATTTAAGGTGAAACTCACTGAGTCTTTCTGTTTGAGCAGGAAAAGGATCTGGATGACAGAGCCTACAGGAACCTACAGGAGCTTGAGAAGTATTCAGAGAACACACAGTCTTCACTATTATACCTGCTGCTGGAGTGTTTAGGTACGTATTAATGAGGAAAGGTGCTGAAGATTAGACATGTTGCTGCATTTTTAACATCAACTTTTCTTAGTGCCGCTTTCTCATTGCATTTTTTTTTCTTATACAAGTCTCAAAGGTACTGAAAATAACAAAAAAATTTTTTTTTTTCCTTCAGACAGCAGCATTTGGTTTTGCTCTTCTGACCTTTTCCCCTTTGGTAGAAACATTGCATCTCTTAACTCACCAGTTTTGTTGGCTGTCTTCCTGTTTCCTCATTAGTGAACATAGGAGTGACATCAGGGTGAAGCAGTTTGTCATTCCAGCTACCACTCATGTCTACTCTGGATTTAAAAATAGCAGCAACTCCATTAGTAAGGTCATGATCACCCCACTGTCTGGTCTAAGGATGCACAGGAAAACATTATCGCTGAAACAGCTTCTGTTAATTAAAACACTTGAAAAGTTTGCAAGATTTCTCAGAAAGTAGGATTTTGTTGCTGAGATTTTTTTCTGTTTGCAGGAGTGAAAAATGTCCATGCAGATCATGCAGCAAGTCACATAGGAAAAGCTCAGGGAATCGCCACGTGTCTCAGAGCCACTCCTTACAACAGCAGCCGAAGGAAAGTCTACCTGCCCATGGATATATGCATGCTGGTGAGTTGTCTCTGTTCAGCCTTATGAAAATAATATCTGAGGCTGCTGCAGTTCAGATATTGATCCCAAATCAGTGTCAACACTGTCTGCATGTCTTTTCCAAAATGTCTACTCTGCAGCCTTTTGGCAAACATGAGAATATTGGATTGAAATCATTGTGGAGAGTAATGTCACAAACATTTTCCAACCTTGTCTGGGCTTTCTGCCCGGGTTGAAGACCAACTGCTGCTGCTAGAAGAGCCGACGGGGGGAACCAGGGCTGTTGTTTGAAGCATGCAAGCTCTGCCCTTAAAAAATCCTCTGATGCAAGGATGACGCTTCCGACCCCAGGCTTTCTACCCGCATTCCTTACTGCTTCCAGAAGAGGGAGCTGGAGGTGTGTTTAATCATCCTGCAACACCCAACGAGTACCATCTGCAGCATAGCGTAAAACGAGAACAAATGTAATACTTCTTCATTAAAAGATATGAGTAATATATCCAGGATGCAGGAGGCAGATAAGAGATCGAATATTCCTCTAGTAACACTTGACTAATTAAACATAACAGAGAAAAACAGAGGAGAGACAGACGAGTTGAGGCAGGAATAATAATAATAATAATAATAAATTTTATTTGTAACGCACCTTATATTTCAAAGAAATCTCAAAGTGCTACAGAGACTAAAAAAGATCAATTGTAAAGCTTACAGTAAAACATAAAATAATACATATCACACCAAGTGTACCAAAATAAACATTAAAACTAACAATTTAAAATAAAACTTACAGTTCTAAAAGGCCTGTTTAAAAAGGTGAGTCTTAAGACCTTTTTTGAAGGCCTCCAAACCTTGTGGGGCTCTCAGGGACTCTGGAAGGGCATTCCAGAGCCGCGGAGCTACTGCCTGAAAAGCCCTATCCCCCATAGTGGCTAGTTTGGTCTTAGGTTGATGTAGGCAGTAGAAGGAGGTGGAGGAACGAAGACTTCGAGAGGTAGCATGCGGTGAGAGGAGTTCACTGAGATAAGCAGGAGCAGTTCCATGGATGCATTGATAGGTGAGCAGACAGAGTTTGTAATGTATTCTATGTTTGATCGGTAGCCAATGAACGTGAATGAAGAGCAGAAGTGATATGGTCGTATTTGCGCCTCCTCATCAGGACCCGGGCAGCACAGTTCTGAATGTGCTGGAGCTTTTGCAGGTTTTTACCAGAGGTCCCAACGAGGAGGGCATTACAGTAGTCCAACCGTGAGGAGATAAAGGCATGGATCAACCTCTCAGCATCCGGTTGGGAAAGGGAGGGGCGGAGTCTGGCAATGTTTTTGAGATGGAGGAAGGAGACTTTAGAAAGATGATGGATGTGGGAGTTGAAAGTGAGGTTAGAGTCAAACCTAACTCCAAGGTTTGTGACGGTGGTAGAAAAGGGAATGTTAAGACCAAATATTGAGATACTGCTGAGATTAGAGAAAAAATCAACAGCATGACGAGCCACACTCATTCAAACACATTCATGAAAATGTCCCTATCAGGCTGCTTAAATCAAGAATCTTTTAGTTTTTCTGTTAATTTTGCTTTGACACGTAAAACTGAACGGCGTCATTATTTTATGGAGTTTTACTCCATAAAATTCGTTTACATTGCTGTAAACGAATACCATGTCTTAATATATGAAATCTTTATTTCTAACCTATTTTTATGATTTTAGAAAAGCTGAACTAAAACACCCAAACACTTGTAGCATTTTAATCTGTAGATAAAGTTCTCAGACAGTGTTTGTGGAATTAAAAAAACTTTTTTGCAAGCTGAAGAGGTCAAACTATTAGATTAATGTGTGTTGGACTTCCAGATCGGCCTACACACCACCTCAATCTAAGATCCACTAAAAACACTTTGGAAAAATCATTTAATTAGAGGGAGAATCTTGGTTTTCACTGAATATTTATGTGTCCCATATTCCATCCAGATCATAATTACTCAGCTTGTTTATATGTACAAAGCTCACTTTGTAAAAAACACTTCAGCAAATCTTTTAACTCACCGTTTCTATCTCACAATCCCACCATTCTTGGTTCTGACTCCTCATCCAAAAAGATTTCCTTATAGTAGTTGCAGTCAAAGCTCAGCTATGCAGTTAATCCTATTAGTTGTGCTTTGTTTTTAACTTCCTTCCTCTTGCTATGGTTTCTTGATAATGCTGTCAGCCTGCAGTTGCTGAATAAACTTTAAAAGTGATCCATAAATGGCTCCATCCATTATTTCCCTAAACAGTGCTCTCCTCTGGGTCGCTTTGGGATCATAAAGCTTTGGCACAGTAATCTGATTGCGGTGGCACTTAATTTTTTAGAAAGCTTGAGATATTGCTGTTCAGTGTTAGTCACATACAAATTTTGAGGTTCGTTTGATAATTTAAAGGCTTCTATCTATATGACTGTGCTATAACATCCCAGATTTACATATTATAGTGTGAAGTCAAAAGTTTTTGGTCTAAGAGTGTAAACTAACATTTCCTGAGTTATACTTCAGTCTTTTTAAACACTGATTCATGATCTGTGGGACAGCAGCAGCTTGAGCCAATTTGCTGCTTGGTTTGTCCCTTTCTGACGTGTCTGATGGGAGCTGCAGGTGTGAAATGAGGCACACCAAGTCTCTATAAAAATTTAGCTCTCAGTCGGGGCAACATTGGCCGTATGCCGTCATCCCATTTCATACCTCAGACAATACTGGAGCAAAAAACTCGCTCTCTGGAGAAAACTGATGTATAACATCTCTGGTTTTAAGAGCTCTGTCTTTTATTTTTTATTGCAGATTTTTCTGGAAATGTAGAATTGTATTTCTATATTTCAGATGAATCTAAGCTTTCCCTGCAAGTTGTGTCGGCATTTATTTGTCACTTTCTCTGCTAACTTTTTTGATAATGCACTTTCAATCCACCTTCACTATATTTCTGTTGCTCCATTTACATCTGTTTTATTGAAAAGAAGCAAAAGTGGGACTCAACCATGAGCTTGCACTAGAGCTATTTTATTTAAAGATCAAATATAATTCTGCATTTAATATTTGTCAGAACCAGCAGATGGTTCAAAGCAAGGACAATGGTGCTTTCTAATAGCTTTGCAGTCCCCAAAATGGTTTCTTTCCTTTATTGCTGGTCTGAAACGTTGGTCTTTTATCCTTTCATTTAATATTTTGCTTCTTTTCAATACCCTTCATTACCTGCATCAATTTTTCTCATCATCTCTCAGTAATCTGGAGCTGAGTTTCCTCCTCAGCAAATGTACTGTATGTAAGTGGAGTGGGAGAAATTGTTCTTTGAACGAAAATCGCTCTGCTATTTTGATCCTTTGCTGAATTCAAAGATGAAGTCAAATCCCTTCACTAAGGTGCTGAGAAATGACGAGAATCTGTGTTATTAAACACAATATTGTATTGTCAGTAAATATATTTCTAATGAGCATATCAACATGGAAATGACAACAATCAAGTTCATTAGTTCATAAGTTATGTTACATAATTAGACTCATTGAATAAGCATTGGAAATGTTTCTAAAGCTCATTGCAAGTGGTCCTTTCCTTTTGCTCAGGTCTTCTGATAATTGTTGCTCCTCTGTCAGAAATCACCTGATCAAAAAGGTTAAAATTATATTCTCCAAGATTATGACCCCAATGCTGCTTACTGATAAATAAATGTCTTCAGCCAAAGTATGTTTTCTAACAAAGGTCTTAAGAGAACTATTACCTTTTTACTGAACCTGCTTTCTAAATACTGATAGTTTACAGCTGGTTTCTTAGTTTTCTGCCTTTCTGCTTCTTTGTTTTTGTTCAATTTTTTTTTTTCGCTGCGCCCTTCCACCTCAGCAAATAATTTATGGACTTAGTCATACTGATTTCTTTGCATGTGTATTATTTAGGATTCAATGTCAATGACCCCATTAAAAATAAATTCTCTGAGATAAAATGTTGATGTGTTGAATACTTATTTTCTCCACCGCAGGATTTGACGCTCTTAGTTTCTTCTCGGCATTTTATGTAAAGTGAAAATATATGTATTCAGTAATGTTTCAAACTTGCACTTAAGTTATCAATCTTTATTTTCTTATTCTTTCTTGAAACACAATGTTTGATCGTCTCTGAATTCTCGAGGATGAAATGTTGAAATAGTTAATTTGTCCATTTCAGAGAAATTTCTTTTGGATTTGATGTGTCCAAATGGAAGAAAAGTCTAACAAAGAAGTTCCTAGTAGAATTTAATCTCTTTCAACAATTAAAAGTGAAATATTTTCCTCTTGAAACAAATCTATATTGTATTTTGTGTAAATATTGAATATAAATCATAAATCTTAAGGTGATATCTGATCCAAATACTTTCTTTCTTTCCTCTGCAGCACTCGTATAGAAATTTTCCAGCTAGCTAGAATATATTAAAACATCTTCAAGCACTTTTAAAAAAAAAACATTCGTCCATAGTTTTTTGTATTGTCGTCAGTCAGTGATATACTTTGATGTACGGTGCATTTTCAGACAGACACTTTTATATGTCATCTTTCAGTATTAAGATTCCTCCTACTTTGACGGGACTCTCAGGATGTCTTTCATGTGTTGCTTCTCTGAGTCTTATCTGCAGATTTTTGAAGATTTTGGCTCATGGAGCTGAGTAGATAAAACTGGGAGCAGTTATCACTGCAGGTGTGCTGAGGGTCACGAAACGGTTCCTGTGCTTCTGGCTGCATCATAAAACTGAAAGGACTTTTGATTTATGTCCAAACTTCAAAATATTTGATGGGTTCTTCTCAGAAAATTTAGTTTTTTTTTTCTTAGAACAAAACACTTGACCTGTTAGATTTAACAGGTCAAGTGTGAAATCTAACAGGTGATTTTAACTCACTTTTTTATATCCATAAACAAACATTTTCTCACATTTTGTCTTAACTATTCTGCCACATTTTGCAAATAAATTTGTATTCCTTTTTAAGCAAGAAAATAATTATTCCTGTAGAGAATGCTTGATTATTTATAGCAAAGGACGCATCAGCAGCCAAAAACGTACTTTTAACATTAACATGAGAAAAGTTTAGTCTTTTCTGTTTGACTTAAAATCATTCTCTGTATAGTTGATATGTTTATTTTGTTTCGTTTAAACAATTAATAATGGGACGCATGTGAAGCTAAAACTTCTACTTTGAAGAGTTCTGAGTCAAACATTTTTACAGATAAAAAATTTTTTGTCTGTCTTTCCAAAATCTTTTTTTGCTTAATTCCTTCTTTGATTATATTCTTTTTTCACAAATTGGCCTTTTTTGAGTTTGTATACTCCAGGTAATATTAATTGATTTCTAAATTTGTTGACAACTATTTCAATAATTGATTCATCCAGATTAATCTGATTGATTGTTTCAACCCTGAATATTGACGACACTGTTCTGTGATCTTGAAACAAACGCAGTGGCTTCTGTTCTGTTTGTTTAAATTTTTTTAGCACGGCGCGTCTCAGGAGGATTTCATCCGTGGCAGCCGGGAGAAGAACGTTCGAGATGTCGTGTTCGACATCGCGAGCCAGGCTCACGTGCACCTTGAACATGTATGTAACACAAAAATTATTTTCTAATTGTTTTTGTCTCAACTTTTACACAAATCTACGGTTCTACTATCAAAATAAGACTTTGGAAATTGGCCAAGTTCAGCTGTTCTAATCCAAAACCTTAATTTCTGTTCATCCAGTATTGTAGTGAAGGACATGCGCTTAACTGAACTAAGTCCAGCAAGAAAACAAAAACTTCTTTACAAGCACAAATAGTACGTGACTTTTATAGTTCTTTATAAATATCCAGTATTAAAAAATTATTTATTTTTCGTCCACCATTTCACTTCTATTTTTAGGTTTCTACAAAACCATTGCAAACAAGTAGGTGGATGCATTTTCTTTAATGGAATGTTATATCTTTGGAAAGTGAAAATCCTGATAGTTTCTAAACTAAGAAATAAGAAAAATAGAGCTAAGAAATATTAATGGGTACTTGAAGTACAAAAAAGCCCCTTAAAAACTCCAATAACTATATTAAAAAAACAACTCCTTATTTAATCATTTCAACCAAAGTTATTAAGTCGTTGTGGAAAGTCCAATAAATCTAGAGCCCTGGACTCCAGCTTTCAAAGAGACTCGTTCATTAAAAGCCACTTTAGAAACTGTTAGCAAGGAGGGCTGCCTGACCTGTAGAGGAAAAACCTTCAATTAAGGAGATGTTACTTTGAAAGCTCTGTCTTCTCTGGTTTTATTCACATCTTTGTGATTTTCCTGGTTTATTCACCCAAAATTTCTTTAAAATACCAAGTATTAGCCAGATAGGTTGGTTTGACACTTGATGTTACCATGACACTGTCAAGAATCAGAAATTATGTTTGCATGTTTTAGTAACAGCATCATACTGGGTAATTCAAGAATTATTTGACTCGTACAATGAATGATGTTAAGCTGAACATGAAGTGTATAAAAGTCAAATCAAAAAAGGTTTTGTGAATTATTTAACCTAAATAATTTATACCACACATATGTTTATTATACCACACATATGTTTCTTCCTACTTCAAATGGATCAAATGAATGAAGGGAAAAGGAAGGCCAACTATCATACACAAGAATGGTAAAATAATGACTCTACACCACAAGTTCGGCAAAGATGGACGGTCACAGAAAATGAGTGGTCCGAAATGTCAATGGAAATGTGCAATTAGCCTTTCTGGTGACATTTTATGTCGGAACGGTTTAAATGCTGCAGAAACTCAAGAAGGATTTTCCTTGGGAGGACCTAAATTATTTTCAACCAGAAAAATCTTAATTTGTTTCACCAATAAACTCACCATTGATTGGATGTGAGTTCTTTGCTAAACCTGTTTGTTCAGCTCGTTCACCTCCACTGCACTTTAGTTCTTCTCCACACTTTTTACACCACTTGAACAGCAGGCATAGGTTTGATATTTTAAAATTAACACCACTGGTGACTCATGCTCTGGCATGCTGTGGGTTGCAGCTTGCACCTGCAAAGCTGTGGATGACTCAAAATGTCCTGCAAATATCTGCTGTTTACTATTTTGTTTCCCCTAAGAGTTTGCAGCTAATTGGTTTGGAGATGTATTAGTCTCCACTTGTATACCTTATTGATTTTTGTCTTCATGGAGACTTTTTCATTATGCAACTGTTCAAGCACTAAGTGCTTGAACAGTTTGTTCAAGCACTTTTGTTTCTTCATTGTTCGCACCTATTAGGAAATTCTGCTAGAAGCTAAATCGCATTCAATTACACTCAGAGAGAGCAATTGGGAAGTAGGAATCAAGTGCTATTTTTCATCTGTTTACTGTTTCAATGTTTAGTTTTTGTAAAGTTATAATCAAATTTCTGTTTTAAGCAAACTTCCCAGGAATTCCAGTAAAGTAACATTTCATTAGTGTATAAAAACCAGATGAACCATACCAATTTAAAGACCAAAACACAAACAGTTCTTTGGATGATTATAAATCCATGAAAAGACTATTGAATTAAAGGAATTGACAGCACTGTCCACACCAATGGTCAGCAACATTTACATTTACATCTATACACATTTGTCTATTATAGCAGCAATGCACTGTTTTACTCCAGCAAGCCTGTGTGTGAGATCAGTCTGCAAACACTTCCTTGGCACAGCTTGACAAACACTGTTAGGACCCACAAATTCTTTAAGTTGTGCCAGAACATGTTTGAGCCACAAAAGGCCAAACCTGTATCTGACAGAAGCTCAGGGGATTCGTTGCTAACTTCACAAATTCAGATGTCAGTCTGCACACCCACAGGTTCTTCCTTCCCTGGGAATACAAAGTCATTTCCGTTGAAAGAAAGGGCCTGTTTCACAGTTGATATTGACTGGTGTTAAAAGAAAAACAAAAGGGGATTTAAAAATCAACCTATATCATGTCTGTTAGAAATAATTGAGTGTGTAAGAAGTTAAGGACAAACAAGATGAAATATATACAGTCATTTCTCTAAATTAGGGAATATTCTTCTTTTATTAACTGTTTTTATTATATTCATGTAAGCAATAAAACAGACTAAAACTTACTAAAATGAGACATTTGTACTAAAAAGAATGCGTTCTAATTAATTAACTAATTGACTTAATTAGGGCTGAGCTGGCAGAGTAGCAACCTAATTCTTGCACCCCATGTGGAGCTGATGATGAGATTTTCTTTTGCTTTTTTGCTTCTGTTTGGCAAATAAAGCAAATCCCTAAGTGCTTTGTGACAATTGGTGACCTCTATCCAGAACAATGCTTTTGCTTTCCCTGACTTTTGCCTGATTGATACTTGATCAAACTAGGTCAATTATATCTAAATTAGTTTTACTTCCTGCCATGACAAATGCAAAATCTACCGAAACAATGAGACAGTTGCAAGAAAGCAATAAAAAGTAATTTTTCAGGGTTTGTCAAAACTGAAGTAGGAGATTCAGCAAACATGTGGAAGTGCACAGATGGAAAAAAAAAGAACTTCCTGGCTAACTTGCACCTGAACGGATCGTCCTCGCAGTAAAACATGGAAGCAGGGAAAATATAAATGAATCCTGGAAGAAAATAAGTTGCATAATTTTCCTTCTTCTTCCTGGGGTTTAATTAATGTGAGATTACCACTAAAAATTTTTATTTTAGGCAATGACAGACTTCAAAATAAGAATATTTTATTTTTGAATATAAATTTCAGCAGTGATGTTGAACAAAGCAGCCAAGTAAATTATCTTGTTAGAATTTAACCGAAAAAAAAAGTATTTAGGGGAAACTAAATGCGCTAAACATTTTAGCTCCAGTATTACTGAAATACTGGAGCCCACTGATTTTACATTTAATTTATCATTCTCACTCTGTCTTTCTTACTGGTCCTTTTTATGCAACTTTTTTTTTTACCAACGCGTCACTAATGGTGATGAGGTATGCTGTGTGTCAAGCTGACAGTTTTGGCATTTAAGTACTATTATGTTTATCACACTGTTGTATTTAGGTATTTAGGCTAGATGATGTTTTTAGTTAAAGTATCCTAAAAAGATAATTTAGCTGTTGTTTGACAAACTGCCTGTTGCAGGTAGAGAAAACACTGGTTTATTCATGGCTTTTCCATTTGTGTGTCTAAGTGATCCAAAGGTTGACTGCCTGAGCAAAAACAGAATCCTCTCAAAATAACCGGGTGCAAAACTAGATGGGAAACGCTTTCAAAAGCTTAGAGAAATAGGATCGTAGAGCCCTTCAGATATTATTAGAAAGTCTGACTCAGGCCGTTTTATTGCTCAAGTATCACAACTGCACGTATGTAGCAGCAAATTCATATAGTCTTTTATTAGAAATGTTAAGAATTTTTCTTTTTCAACTCTTTTAATGCTCATGGCAGCAAATACAAAGTCAGTATTTGACCATAAGTTGCAGCTTATATTTCTGTGATTTGCCAATCTTTTTGAAACTTAGTTACACAGGAAAGATATTTGTTTTTTATTTAAGTTTGTTCTGCCTTTTTCTGCTTCAGGCTCGATCGTTTAGCCAGAATGTTCCAGCAGCAGCAACCCCGGCCTTCCTTCCCACTGTAAGTTATGATTTCCTTCTGCTGTTCATCAAGATCTCATTTACATTTTAAAATCCTTTTTTTCTCATATCACTGATGTTTGCTTCAGTAATCACCCTGAAAGTCAGACTGCAGACCTTGTTTGTGCAGACAACCAGATTTGTTAAGGCATTGAAAATAATCCAATTTAATCAGTTTTTTTTTCTTTTGTCTGTGGAGCTGAAACCAAAAATATTTGTACATTCCTTAAAAATATGTTTTTATGCAGTCTGAGAAAAAGCAGCCTAAACATTTTCTTTTTCAGTCAGTTAGGTTTACAAAAATACTCTCTCATTGCTAATATTCAGGGCACAAAGGGAGGTAAATGATTTTAAGATTATTACTTTTAGTTGAAGAAGGTTACATGTACTAGGAGTACCATGCCTATAAACACCCTAAGGAGGCCAATCAGTGCCTTCAAAATCACTTTGTAGCCCTCGGCATTGATCCGATAAGAAAAACTGGGTCAATATTAACAACCAATTTTTATCTTAATCTTGTTCCTGTTTGTGTTTCATGCTTTTACATCGTGTCATAAAAGTGGGCAAATGTGTAATTTATATATTGGTATAAATATCTGCAATATGTCAGAGAGGTTTAATTTAATAAATGAAGAGTTCACTTCAACCGAACCGAGATTTACGTTTTTCGGCAAACCAGGCGACAACTCCCTGAACGAATCGGACTTTCAATACAAACGAATCAGAGTTTGATTAAAGCAGACCAAACAAGGCTGGTGTGAATTTTTTCTAAATGTAACTCAGAGGCTGTTTTATGCTGGTGAATAAAACATTTCTATGGAGTCCATAATGATGACCCATCACCAACCGAGCAGAAATGACTTTGTAGGGGACCTTCTCCAAGCAGCAAAAAGGCCCCTTCATGCATGTGTGGGAGTGTTGCTGTCTATTTGTGTTCATGACAGCAAACCACAGGGAAAGCAGGCACAGTCTGCATTGCTTTCTTCTTGTCCTGAAAATTAGATTCAGATAAACTGCAGGTTTGGATCATTGTGGCAGAATGAACAAAAAAAAAAGAGGAGCACCAGTAAAGGCTAGCTGACATGAATCACACCGACTCATTTCAAAACAACATGAAGAATGACAGCAACAGACCTGAGGGTACATATCGAAGACTTAAAGAAAACTGTTTAAAAAGATGTTACGATCGGCAGATTCTTTTTGATTTAAGCAATTCTTTAAAGAACTCAGCAGATTTTTCCAAATAAAATATTCTCATCTTCTGTAATGACGCAGAAAAGCCTCCTCAAACAGTGTGTAGGTGGAATCTTGTGTCCATGTGCCCAAACAGAAAAAAAAACCTTTTGAAAACACATTTCCAGCCTCTGTATCACCACCAAATTGTTCAGAGAGACACGGGGGATGGAGGAACAGACACCTCAGAGAGCTTTGCAGGCAGAATAAAGAATGTCCGTAACGTATTTCTGCAGCACTCGCTGTTTGCTGGGGAGCTAAATGGCAGGTGTGCATAATGTTGGCGAGAAGGATGAAGGGGAGAAAAGCAACAAGCTTCATCCTGTGGTTCTTGGGTTGAAGAAACAAAAAGATGGTAAAATTTCAGCTTTGAAATAGATTCCTATTTTTAAGATGGAACCAAAATCTGTCATAAGATTGACATATTTTTGTTTTGCCTTTTTAACATTTGAAGTCCAAATACTCACATTTCAAATAAAATGTGATGCCCCTCCAGGATGATAACTAATCTCATGTTGTTACAGGAAAATGCATGTGGTCCATTTTCTTCAATCTTTTATCATTAAACTATCATCACTTCTGAGCAGGAAGTGAACAGAATTGACATTCTACGGCCTGCGGGAAAAGCTTTTCACTAAAAAATGTTTTTTTATTTTCCTGCTTTATTCATTCCTTTCATCATTTTAAGACCCCTAAACCCTGATGCAGAAAAAAACAGTTTAGAAATACGCTGCAATCACAGTTTGTCTGCAGGGGTCACCTTAACGAGTGGCTCTTTTCTGGTTTCTTCCTCCTATGCTTTTACATGATGATGTATGCAGTAACTGCTCAGTTGCCCTTTGATGGAAATCCGTTAAAGCTCTTCACAGAGAGGCTGTAGTTTTCATTCTTGGTAAATCCTGGCTGTTTTATTTCCTTTTTTCAATGGGGCTCTTCTAGAGCAACAACCGAGAGTTTCAGTTTTTTAGAGCGTTTATGATCTTCAGTTTAAAGGAATCCATGACTAGTTGAACCTGTCAGTCTACATATGTTGTAATTTTTCTATTAACCCCAAAAATTGTAGTTTGTGATATGTCAAAACTCTATTTTTATAAAATTGCATTGACATTTTTTCACCTGCTCAATGCATGCTGGGCCAATGACGCATTGAGCTAACAGGACATCTAAACAAACAAATGTTGAAAGAGATGTGGAAGCATAATTTAGTCTTTGTAATAAACTCATTCTAATATATTGAAATGTTTGGTCCCAATGCTAGTAATAAATGTTTTAAATTAGAAATTGTAGCTTTATACAGCATATGCTCTCTATTTTGGTTAGCATTTCCAATTAGCAGCAGCACCAATACCATTTTTTTGGGCCAAATCTCTTCTATTCAGCCATTTAGTCCTTCTCATTTTTTCATAAATTTCTGTTCTGGCTGGTCTGAGCTACCGCTACACTTAGCCTAAGTCATCTACCCCTGATGCATTGCAGTGTAAGCAACATGGTGATATAAATATGACAATATTTTATTTCATTTTGTAGAAACTAAACAGCCAACAGTAATTGTACTGCTTTGTTTTTACTTTGAAAGTACAGTTTTACAAATATATATTTTTTAAACTTAGACCTAAGAGCAGAAAAAGTTCAGAATGTTTCAGAAACTGTCATCTTTGAGGATGTGAGGCATGAATTCAGGGCACAAACTGAACCAGCTTGTGCTTGTTTTGCTCTGTGCTCCAGGTCGTGTTAGAGGACTATCTGCAGAGAGTCAGGAAAGCTGATTTTGATGTTTTCCACAAGAGCCTGCTGAACAGAAACCCTCTGCTGCCCTTCCAGCTGTACCTCCGTTCCTGGAAGAAGACTTACTGATTCCAGCTCCCACCTCTCCCAATTCAACCAGTTTGACTCTAACTGTGGGACTGGCAAGCAGAGACTTTATTTACTGAGATTCTGCTCTCAGAATGCTACACAGCATGTTAATAAAGACACTCAGACTTTGTGAAATATGAGCACTGGCACTGACATCCTCACGCTCAGAGAAACTACAAATCCCAGCTGGCTGGTTTTCACTCCCATCAGCTTTGTATCTGGAGTTTTTTTTCTTAGAAAACAGATGGAGGAAAGATTCAGAGCTCCAACAGACACACGCTGGGCTTTAGAGAGCAAATGCTGCAGTAATTAATTGCTTTTTATTCTCAACTGCCCTCTATGTGACCTGATAGTCCATCATCTCTATTGATTTAAAATTTTAAGATTTGATTGGATTTATATTCCTGGAAAATTGGCGCCACTTACAGTTTATCTTGTTAACTATTGATCCAAAGAAACCCAACAATATGGATTTATTTTACTTTCACATATCAAAGAAATTATTTATTTATGTAGCAACCTGGAGAAAAATTAGCAGTTTTAGTTAAAACCACTGGTTTTTATTAAAAACCAATGGTTTGATGTTTTTTCCAGCTGTCAAGCGTTTCATCTCAGTCTCATTATTTTTCTTAAAATTAATAATTTCTTCCAGTTCTCAACAAATTATGAGAAAAAGTTACTAAAAATGTTAATTGTAAAGTTTTGAAATTTGGGTTGTTTTTGATCTTCTGATAAAGATTGTTTATCTGTTGTTGCAATACTCAGAGCATAAAAAATAAGAGCCTCTTTTCCTTTTGGGAAAACTAGTAAACATCTGTTTCCCTACATCCTTAACAGACTGCAGCTTTTACATGAGACGCTGCTCCTAATCTAATCATACTCCTCAGTCTTAAAACTTGTTAGTTTTCACCATCATGAAGAGTTTTTCTAACTGTAAATCACTCCCTAACATATTTAAGATGAATCTCTGCAAATCCTTCCAGGCTGCAATTGCAAAAGACAAAATAACCCAAATGCTCTGATGCCATTTTCCTCCCAGATTTTGAAGATCCTGCACAAAGGAGCAACACTCAATCGAGAGAACAGAATCTCAGGATAATAAGGAAAATTATGAGGGCAGGGAGCATCAAATACAAACCATTTTATCAATGAACAATACAAATTACCGCAGTGGAGAGCAGTCTGCGGTGGCCAACTGCACAAACACACTCAGACTTGTCTCACTGTGTTTTGCTGTTACAATCAGATAAATTGTGGGTTCTGCAGATGCTGTCAACCCAGAGGTGCTGTAACTAGAAATAGAAAAAACAACTAGTTTATTACTTTCAACCTGACAAAACCGTAAAGGAAATGAAATCACTTCTTTTCTGTCTGTATGATTAAAAATCAGCAGTATATTTGAATAAATTATTGATTAAAGCTCTGATTTATTAGATTGTTTTTAAAGTCTTATTTTTAATCTTTCAGTTTACAGACTTCTGCCCTTAATATAACATAAATTGTTACATTGAGTATCATAACATTCCTATCTGTTTTATGGGGATGTTGTCTGATAGAAAGTTACGTACAACTGTGAAGTAGAAGGAAAAAACTTGTTTTTCAAAAAAACTTTGCAATTAAACATCTGAAAAGTGTGGGATATATAGTGATATTCCACCACTTTTACTCCGATATCCTTAAAGGAAAGTTACCTGTGTGATTCAGGTGCACTGATGCAGAGACACATCTAAAAGTTGAAGGAGGGTTGCAGTTTCAAAGTTTGAGAGCAAAACATTTTCATGTTTTACCATGTCCCAGTCAAATAACAGATCCAGGACATCCATTTTAAAGTCTGTGGGAAAATTGAAGGTGATGTTTATCCAAATTTCTTTATCTAATCTGACTTGGTTTTAGTTGTTTTGCAAAGCTGGATAGATATACTAATAAATACAAGTCAGATAACTAGCCAGCTAAGTAAATCTTAGTTTATTTAGCTAACTAGAATTAGCTAACTAATATTTATCTTCATACTAAACATTTAGCTTGCTAACTAAGCCTTTTATTTATAAATGCAACTTCTATAAATGACTAAAGAACATAATAAAAATATGATTTTGAAAAATTAACCTCAATGTTTTTTTTCTCTAATGATCGACTGTCATCTGGTAAACGACACTTTTAATGCAAAGTTGCATTAAAAGAGTCATTATTTACTAAATGACACTTCATGACAGCAGTGATAGACATTCACAAAGACTCCATCTTCATGACAGATGTTATGTCATGTTTATGACACGTCGTGTCAGTCTTCGGCACACCCTGTCAATAAAGTGTTACAGTTTTTATAAACAACTTCCCATGGTGACAGAGGTTTCATGGAGTTTCATATATTTGTATGAGATTTTCACTGAACAATCATTGATATGCTGGAGAAGAAAAGTCAAAAGTCACCTGCAGAAGACCCAAGAAAGGTGCAACCCATCATCCTCTATAGTCATCAGAACTTCATTCTACCTGAAGTATCCAGAAGTACGAGATAGTTGGTGCTTAGGAGCAGAACCAAAGTAGGAAAGACCTAACGACTGATGGGGAGCTGTTAGCAAGATGAGATAGTTGGACTGTTTCAGATTGAAGATGGACTTCAGATACACTTCTACACCTACTGCCGGTTTTTAAAGGACTTTTTCTTCAAGCAGTGGTGCAGAAATGGAAGGTAGCATAAAAGAAGATCAGATTTTCAATGCAGGACAATTTACTGAAATGCTCTGCACTGATTAAAAGCTCTTTACTTACCTGACTCAAGCCTTTGGAAAGCTGATCCTAAAATTGGCATTGATGAATGAAAGCTACAAAAGGAAGGGTGGTTGTTTTGCATATTGGATCTTGTTGATGTTTTAGTGTTTATTTGTTGTGTCATGTCAGTTCCCATCACTTCTGATCTGGTTAATCTCCCTGATATTTTGAACGTCACTCTGTAACGACAGTGTACATGTCTCAGAGGTAACCAGGTTCTAGAATAAGTTTGGATGCTCAGTCCTTGCCGTCATTCTTGCATTATGTGACAACTCATTTGAATATAAATGCAAGACTGCTGTTAAGCTAAGCAAGGCAATTTCGTTCCAGTAAAAATTGTTTTGCTCTTTGTGCTTGTGCCTTACATAATTCATGCAGCATAAATTATGGTCTAAAATGCACCTTGAAGCATCCATTGAACCGCTGAGGGCCACTGAAAATTGCAGCGATCTTGATTATAATTTTAATATTTAAACAGTTTCACTAATGACTGACTGCCTGGATTTTGATGCTAAAGTTTCCAGGAATGAGCAGGCTAAAAGATTTTAAAGATTTTAAATCAAAATGCAAGCTTTTTTTGTTTTCTTTTGCAAAGATTGGTTTATACACACAATTCTGCACAGGTCATTATGTGCCATTAAGAGCCTGCTAAATTACAATTTAGCCTCACTATGCATATGTATATGTAATCTCCGGTAAACCATTTTATATCTGAACTGTGGTGAACTGCAATCTGATTCAAACATCCATCTAGTTCCAACTTCCAATCTAAACAAATTAGATGTTAAAAAATGAGCTTTTCCACACAAGAACTAATCAGTTTAGAATCACTCAGCCACAGCAAGAGAGCAACTTTGTTCCCATGCATGTTTTTTCCCTGTCATGTGTTATTTTATCCCTCTAAAGTCCATATTTATTACATTGCAGTAAAAGTATTCGTAATAAGTAATTTAGATCTGTTTTCCATGTCCAGTGGTGGGAATCTGTTTTTTTATATCCTTCCTCCTTTATACTTATCATTATCTTAAATTATAAAAATAGAAATAAAAAGCTGCTTCTTTAACAATGACAAATTTTCCAAAGTGGATATTTGTGTAAAAAGTAGTCTTTATTCAAAAATGCATGTAATATTAGTATATATATTTTTTTTGCAACTCTGTAGAAACTTCTGGGGGTAAATAAAGGGAATTATTATTTGGAAGACAGATAATAATATCCTGCCTTTTTTGAAGGATGTGCCTGGATTTTAGTTGTGAGCAAAAAACAATTGCTGTAAAAAATGGAAATGGTACAACAGCCCTTCACAATCCCCTGGGGAATGGTGTGTGTGGAAAGCCAGTGATAAACCTCTGAAGGCTCAAAACAATTAAATGCATTATTTAACAAGGTTCTAGAAATGAACATTAGAAACATTCTTTCACTTTAAAGGGGCCCCTGTCTTTATTGATGAATGCCCTAACTGAACACGCGAAAACAATAGAAAGATTATTGACTCAGTTTTATACCAGTTTTGTATTAAAGCTTCGAAGCATTAAAGAGACATCAGACCAAGTAGATTGATAAACCTCTCTGACCAGATGCCCCAGAACTGGAGGGCATTCAGACTTGTTATGCTTCCTTATTAATAAAATCAACACACATTCCCTTCAGCTTTATATGAGTATTGATTGACTGTGGGCTGTGAATGCCATTTTTAAGATAGGAAGAAATGTTGATTATTTAGCAGACAAGAGCCAATATTAATATACTTTTATGCTGCTGGCATTTTGCAGAAGATTAAATTGTCACTTTTCTCTTTACTTGATTTGCCTGTTATAAGTGCCTCAAACTGAGACAGATTGGATATTTGTGAGTTACTAACATTATGTTCTTTGTTTTCAACAGAACAGTGGGATGTCCATAGCTTCACTACCTGCTCTGAAATTCAGCAAACTCCTGAAATAATCAATATTTTATTACAAAGAAGTGAATAAGGTAACAGTTACAGTCAAAAGTTAAGATAGATGTTTTCATAATAGGGTGCTTATACATGGTATAAGTACAACTCCAATTGTACTTATAACAGTGTTTTAGTGCTTTTACAAATCATTAATGATAAAAAAAAAATACAAAAAGGGCAAAACACACGCACGCACGCACACACACCCACACACACACACCCCCACACACACCCACACACACACACACACACACACACACACACACACACACACACACACACACACACACACACACACACACACACACACAAACAAAACCAGGTTGCAACCCAAGGTGCAGCTGAAAAACAGAAGATGGTGCGCTGTAAATTATCTTCCTGTGTAAAATAAGAACTGAGAGATATTTATAAAGAAAATAAAAATAAACACAATGGTATTCACTAAAGAGCTATTAATTGAAGAAGTAGTTAAAATGCCTAAGTACACTTGAAATGATACAAAACTCACTCAAGTAATTTTTCAACAAAAAATAATAGCTTGTCTTAAGTCAATTATTCCTTAATATTGATGAAAAAGTGCAAGTCCATTGGTAGATTATTTCACTTATAGCAGGGTTAAAATGTCTTGTTATAAATGAAGAAATCTGCTAGTGGAACTTGTACTTTTTCATATCAATAGGAGAAAATATTGACTTAAAACAAACTCCTGTTTGTTGCTGAAAAGTTACTTGTAAGTTAATTTAAATTTTTTTTCAAGTGTAATAAGGTATTTGCACTGGAAACTAAAAATACTTTTGTGTTTTTGCAGTGCACTCCTTCAGAATATGGAGGGAAAAACCTGGCTGTGTTCAATGGAAATCCAGATGCAATAAATTATGTATAGGTTTTAAATCTCCATAATATGTTTATTCAGAAGTCCATTTCATTCTTTATTGGTGAGCACAGGGTCATGCACCCCTCTCTTTATTCTGACATGGCAGGTGCCTGGTTAGGCTTTAATTAAGCTCCATCCCTGTGCCTTAAGCTGTCACCGTTGGCACTGAGACCTGTAATTACCAGCTGCGACCCAGGGTGCCGCGCTGTTTACACCAGGAGACCCAACAGCTTTATGCTGCTAAGATACGTGAAGGAATTAATTAGACCCTGTCTGCCCTGTCCTGAGTCATTAAAGTCAGTGGAAGAGACATTCATTCACCTTCACTTCTGCAAAGTCACTGAAGTGCTGCCCTGACATCAAAGCTGCGTTTAGGAAAGATTTGGCGTTTGATGGTCAAAGACCTTCAGGGCAAACTAAATAGCGAACTGCTGGACTGATTTAGAGAACCTTTTCTGAACACCACATTTTAAAATCAAAGTGGATTTATAAATTTGAGAACAGATAAGAGATGTGGATACATTAATTATTCTGCGCATTTATAACCAAGTCTTAAAGCATATTGCAGCAGAATCTCAATAGGAATCATGTAAATGTGGTTTATCTAAAAAATCTAAAGTGAATCTAATGCACCATGGGACACAAGCCCAACCAACAAAAGGTAAACAAATTATCTTGGTGAAACATGAGGTTTCCCTCATAATTATACTTTTCAAACAAATAAATTAAATGAGAAGAGTTATTCAGAGACAACTTGTTGGGACGTCAAATGCTTTCTAAGTGCTATAATAAACAGTGAAGTAGCCAATTAGTGTAGTTTAGCTACAAATATAAACCTCAAACCATGTTTTATGATGAAGCGCTAACACTCTTTACATCAACAGGGTGCCTTATTTATCAGGTAACAGGCAATAGAAAACAAATCTGGACTGATTTGTTTTCAGATTTTCTTCTGCCTGGCAGGAACAACATGTCATCCATGACAAAATCTTTTTTTTTTTTTTTTGGTTTGTTTTAGGTTATATCTTTTTTTTTTGTTTTTTTTTCAAAACAATGCAAAAGGGGGCAACTATAAACTGGCAGAGGACCAATTACAAATCAATTAAATTTTAAAATACTTCATCCCAAAGTGAAAATCTCTGGGATTTGGGGTCATAGTTCAGGTATCATTTGAGCTTTTAAGATATTATTCAGCTGCTCCCAAAAAAAAAAAAAAAACCACATTGTCACCATAGTAAGGCATCTTAGCAACTGTCCCAAAGTGAAACAGTAAGAATGAAAATCCTTCTATATGAGCAGCATTCAAAATCAGAACGAATATTTTTCCAGACATGCAATGATTCAAACAATAAAAAAATTCATTTACATCTACAAGAAGAACAAATAAGAACTGCAAAAGGTCCAAGTCTAGAGTTATCACTTGGTGACCCATTTAACATCCTAATTATCTACAAACTTTTACCAACTTTTGAAAAAAAACAAACAAAAGACCAACTTTGTTAAAACTGAATTAACTGAGA